CTTTCCCTAAGGGTAGATTCATAAAAACTGATGGAGGAGTGAAACAGGCTGGGGAATTGCTTTGGAGAGATTGATTTGAGTGGGTTTGTGCACCTCTATGAATTCACTCCCATGCAGACAAGCTGTCTGGACAGGCAGCATATGGATGTTTGGCTCTAAAAGTGACTGTCTCCAAACAGTTGGATTTTCAGCCCTTCATTCCCCTTCCAGCTGCCTTGCTTCCTCAAGAGTCCATCCCTGGTCCACGCACTTGATTGTGAGGTGAGGCATCCTTTGAGGCCACGGTGGCTGCCAGAGAGCTTGAGGAGTCAGTTTGGGAAAGTGACTTTTTTGCCTGCGTTGCGTGAGCAAGTGAGGCTGCTGCTTCTGTGACTGCAGTGCCAGGGGAAACCAGAACAAGCTGCCGCCGAGTTAATAGAGAGGCTAGATAATGAGGTGACCCAGGCAATATCACTTTCATCCTCATGTGATCACAGAGCAGGAGTTCGCAGTGCTCTGATTGGCAGCTCAAAGTGCTGCGCATAAGCAGATTAGGGCTATCAAAGGGCCCTGCGATAAGCTCGTTTTCACTAACGATTTTTGGGGTTGCCATTATGCAAAGAGCATTAAAAGGGGGAAAAAAAAGACATTTCCGTTAGCAGCGTCTGTCTGGGATTTACCAGCATTGTGGGGTGAGCAGCTGGCAAAGGCAGCCAGCCTTCCCTGCAGGGAGGGCACCAGCATGCACAGCAGCTGAGAGCCTGAGATGGCCATTAGGAAGTAAGCTCAGGCAAGGAAGAGCAGCTCTGCTCACTATTGGAACCACCTTCTCTTTGAGGAAAACTCAGCTTCATTAACATATCAGTCACATGGATTCCTCCACCTCGTTAAGTGAGCTAATGGTGTCTTAGTGCTGCACGATAGACAGGTATGAAAATGGAGAGAGGTTCAGATCATGCAGTTATAAATATTTGAACACTGAGAGAAAATTCTGAGTGCGGGGATTTGTATACCTATTTCAGATAGCTTTTGTATTGATAGGCAAAGGTTGAAGCAACTCTCCTGCCACTTAAATTAATTCTATCAGTGGATGCTCTTATCCTTGAACACACTTAATCAGAGACGGCTCCATGCATAAATGAGTCCTTCAGAGTCTCATAGCAATCCAAGAGAAACCTTTGCTTTGTGGACTCTTCAAGTCAGGTATCCTCTCATTATTCCATATGGTGTCTGCTCACAGGGGATATCATACCAGTCTGATGTTAAGGTTATTGCTTCACTGGCCAGTGGAGCAGTAGCTAACTGGTTCTGGCATCTGTTTAGTAAGAGAGATGTGCACAGGTTGGAAGAGATTTGGCCAAAAGCCACAGGAATGCCTTTGTTTGACCAATGGTATCGTCCTTACATTGAGGGACCTAAGAGTTCTGTTTATTTAAGAAGTGACTGAGTCTTGGTTTACAGGCTCCTACTTGAGACAATTTCTGGTGGTACTCTGTTGTATGAGAAAAGTCCTTGGCAGTTACTACTCAGCTATTCACTGAAAGTGACAAACCACTGGCTGAACAGTCTCATATGGATTCTTGGGTACTAGGGGTCTCAAAGTCAAGCAGGTGTTTCCGAAAGCTGTGCTTTAACTCACCAGAAGTTGTGTGTGCAATGCACAGCTTCCAGGCAGAAATTCTTTGGTCTGCATGTTATTAAATTAAAAACCTCATGTTATTAAAACCTCATGTTAGGATGGTTGGATCAGTCTCCTGTGGCCTTAGAACTTCCTAATATAGAATGACCGTTGGTCTCCTTCCTGCCCTCTTCCATCCAGTTGCCCTGACAAACCCTGTTAGATCTTGGAGGTTAACATGTTCAGGCGGGACGCAAACTGCAGGAGCAGTCAGACTCCTCCCTTCAAAAGAGCCTGTCTTCAGACTCTATTCCTGGTCCTGACAAATCAGTCAACAGTAAGGTGGGAGGCACATCATCACTAATGAGTCACTAATGGGCTGGAGAAGAACATCTGTATTACTGCTGCTGGGCTATTCACGTGGCATCCCTGCTCAGGAGTAGCAGGGATGCTTGTCCAGGAAAGCCAGAGGGATGCAGTGCCCCTTTGCACCCTTCCAGCATCACAACTTGGACCTAATTTCCTGAGAATACAGCTGACTTCTGGGCTGTCTTTCCTGCTAAGCTGCTTGCTTAGTTGCTGGGCACCCTGCAAAAAGTACAAGCAGTGCTGCTTTGAGGGCCCGAGGAGCATGAGGGAGTTTTCTAGGAGGCTGCAGTGCCTCAGGCAAACAGTATGATGCAGGAGAGGAGCATTATCTCTGTGCCCACCAAGCCTCAGCATTAAAATGCTGTTCTCACTAAAAATATGAAGGTGGGTCTTGAGGCTGCCTTTTCTCTAGCATCAGGAGTAGGTGGGCTGGATGGGAGCACAGGGCTGCTATGGGCTGGTGGAGGAGACCAGTGTAAGCAGCCTGGAGGGAGCAGAGGTTTGCACAGTGTGTGTGGGTACATCTGTGTGTGTGGGTGCATGCTGGCCCCAGTCTGCTCTTTGCTGGCCTCAGGAGGGACACTTCCACTCCTTGTGCATTTTAAGTTGATCCTGCTCATGTTACCAAGTTTTTGTTTGCTTTTCTTCAGTGTTAATCTGAGTTTTTGCCTTGCACATCATGTATGTGACTCTTACCCAGTCAACAGCCAATGTTCGACCTGCCAATGCTACCAGCCAAAAATGCCTTTGGAGAAGGAGCTCACTGCTGCATCCTAAGAGATCCTGTAGAGGCCCAAGGCCAGAGCAAAAGTCTCTTCTTTGAAGGGCCTCTCTGCAGACACGGGCAAAGGAAAGGCTTGCCAAGCTCCTGATGTCCCACCTGTCCCCTCTGAGGGGTGTCACCAGGTGCTGCGTCTACCTTATGCCCTCCCTGAATTCACTCTTGGTGTCACTTTGGTGCTATATCTTCCTACTCTATTCCCTTCCACTTATCTACTGATTAATCAAACGAGTGTGAGGATCCATTTCCTACCCCTGCTCCCTTCTGATACACTAGATGGCTGCTGGGCCGATCCTGCTCTGCTTCCCTCATGTGGGCAACACTTTGCTTCCACACATTGCTTTGACTTCTTTTTCCTCCAGTATAGCTCCCATAGCAGCAGGCTGACTCTGCTCAGGCATCATCTCTTCCAGCTCCATCACTGCCCTGTCTCCCACCATCTTTTGCCTCCTCTGGCACCCCAGCCCAGGCAGGAGGGATGAGCCTTGCTCCCTGGGCACAGAAAAGGGCACTGAGTTACATGCAGCCTGCGGCTGCCTCTGCAAGCAAGTGGGCTTTGTTCCCAGCAGCCAGAGGTCATCAGTGGCACTGGGAGGTCCTGCTGTCCCCAGTGTTCCCAGATCTTCTCCCACTGCCAACCTGTGCCCAGAAAACAATTGTTGGGTCTTTTAATTATCTGAGGTCCCTGCTGCTGTCTGGAGTCCCGTAGGTTGTGTTCGCCTCTGTGCAGGCGGTGAGCAGGCAGGTTTGTCCCTGTGCCCTGGGAAGGCTGGCTCTGCTGCACTGGTGGCTTCAAGGACTGCAGCATGCAGAAGGGCACCAGAATTTGTTCAGGCATTTCTGTGTTTCTGAGTGCAGTGAAGAGTGAAGTGGCCTTTCACCTGTCGTGGCAAAGCCAGATATGTTGTACTCTGTTATTGCTTGGCCAGGCAGCTTCCAAGCCTTAAAGGAGCTGTGTGCGCTTCTTTTGGTGATGGTGCTCTGCCCTCTCTGCTTAGGGCACTTGCTTTCTGTGCAAGCACCAAAGGATGCACCCATCACCCTTGTGCCTCCTCTGACCATGTGGGCTACCTTCCTTCTCCAGGCTTCCACCCTTGCCCTCTCTGCTAGCACGCTGTCTGTAGCATCCCTGGGCAGTGAGGCCAGATGAGAACAGGCTGCTGCTGCTGTGAGAGAGTTCCCATGCTGCCAGTCCCTGTTCCAACAGGACAGCAGTCCTGCAAGGCAGGAGAAGGGAATGAAGCAGACAAGTGTCCTAGAGATGCTCTGCGTTGTCCACATTGGTCTCTTCTTTCCCTCTCTTCCTCCCCAAGGTTTGTTTCACTGCTCTTCCCTAGCAGTGTTGTGTGGAGGGGACTGTTTTTCATCCCAGTGAGAAGTGTCTGCTGCCTACATCCCATTCCTTCACCTCTGGCCACTTAACATTGCTGGGGCTTAGAAGTTAACTCAAAGGGTAGGTGTTTTTTGCCTGGGAGGGCGCAAGACCTGCCTACCTTCCCCTGTACAGCTCCATAGGCCTGGAAGCTGCAGAGGCGGGTAACCGATTTGGCAGGCATGAAGCAGTCAGTCCCAGATACTAGGAGCACATGCAAAGCAGCACAACCATGTTATCTCCTGTTTCCATGTGGTGCCTGGCTCCCACCTAGGTCAGAGTGCTGCTCACAGCTGATGGTCGTGATTTGAAACCCTGCCTGGACACATTCCAGCCAACGTCAGTCACCTGCTTTCCCCGCCCTCTTTTGTTTCCCCTACTTGTCTAGGAGCGGGTTTTTGCAAGCCTTCATACAATCTGGTGTGTGAGCTACCCCTTCTGCCACTCTTGCCTTCTGTAGCTTCCTACCTCTTCTGGTTTCCATCTGCTTCAGATCTTCACTGAAAGCATCATTCTTCTCCCTATCAGTCTCTCTCGCCTTCCCCTTCCCTTACTGCCATTTGTTGTGTTTGGTGAAGTGAGCGTCCAGAACTGCTTTGGGAAGAGGTGTTCTCTGATGCAGAACAGCACTTCTGTCTCCATGCTGTTCATCAGGCTTTCACATACAAATTGCCCCTAGTGCCATCTTTGATGGTCTGCATGGAAGGCAGGAGGTAGTCCAGGAGGCTGCTGGCTGAATGAATTTCCATGTGTATGTTCAGTGCTCAGTTGGCTGGGTAAAAGTTCCCTGTGCATTTTGGTTTGTCCTTCCTCTCATTTCCCTTCATCTCCCCACTTCATTTATTTATCCCCAGCCCCCTCCGCCCCACCCCAAGAGGTCGAGTGTGTAAGCACCAGCTCTACCACCATCCGGGTAAGTTGGGTGCCACCGCCTGCCCAGAGCCGCAATGGGGTCATCACCCAGTACTCCATTGCATACCAAGCAGTGGAAGGAGATGACAACACCAAGCATGTGGTGGATGGCATTGGACGGGAACACTCCAGCTGGGAGATCAAGGACCTGGAGAAATGGACCGAGTACAAGGTGTGGGTAAGGGCTCACACTGATGTGGGGCCAGGACCGGAGAGCATCCCCGTGCACGTGCGCACTGACGAGGATGGTAGGTGTTCCTCAACAGCTCCTTCCGCTACCGTCTTGGGGTAACCACGACTCTCCTAGCTGAGCTGCTGGAAAAGGGGAGGAAGGGAGTAGGGCTATTGGCCTGGGACTGCTTTTCCAGTAGGACTGGAGGCTGTCAGGAGCAGTGCTTTGATCAGCTGGTCCAGGGAGCGGGTCTCCATTTTCATCCTGGAGTGGGGTAGAGGAATCGATCTGTTGGCCCTTGCTTTGATATGATGTTTGCCTCCAGGCTGTGGGTCAGATGTCCCAGCATGGTCCTACAAGGGTTCTGTGGGTGTTAGCAGTGCTTCCTGCACATGAGGAGGCATTACAGTGCTTTGCCATTTTGACTTTCTAGTGGTTGTTGGGGGTGGTTTCTGTTTTACTGAAGGTAATGCCAGTTTTCCCAGCCAAAGGCTTCTCTCACACTGTAAGATGAGGCCTTGAAATTTACTTGTTGACTTGAAATCCAGCAAATGAAAGAGTGGAAAGGAAAGCCATTAGAAACTTGTAGATACTGCAGGAAAGCTGCTTTCTGCCCCGGCTTCCAGGCAAGCCACAGCTTATATAAATCTACTCTTCCACTCAAGAGTCAGAATACACATGTACAGAACACATTACTGAATACGACAGCTTTAAAAAGAAATTGTTTTGTATTAGCAGGGCTGTCAGTTATGTCATCATGACTTAAGCCATTTCCTTTGAAAGTGTCAGAGCTCAGGGTGTCAGTAGGAGCTTCCATGGCTTCATGCTGACCCCAGAAGCTGCAGATTTAATGGGAGAAGAAAGAGATGCAGCGTCCAGGCAAAGAAAGGATGATCTTTGCATTGCCCAGTCAGCGTGGCAAATTGAAACCAGATGTGTTACAGTCTCCCTAAATGGGTTGCTGCTGTCCCCCACATCTCTGTGGCTCTGGAAGTGGTGTCTGGGAGTGCTTGCTGACTGCATTCCTGGGCTGGCAAGCACATCTGTGTGTGTCCTACTGCCTGTATTGTTTGCTTCAGTTCTCATTCGGCAGAGCTGTAGCCCAGGGGAAGCTGCTACCCCAGAAACGTCACAAGAAGATCTCTCAGTTAGTTTTTGGGCACTGTGGTTGGACATTCCAGCTCAGCTGTCAGGAGTGATTTTGTATCTCTCCGACATGCTGATGCTCAGTAGATGAAGGAGGGATCGTGATGCTCATGATGAAGGAATAAGAAATGCTAAACTGGGATCTGAAAACAAATTGAGCTTTCCCTGTTTGGGTCTCAGAGGCAGCACATACTTCTCATAATGGGGTAGGATGGTGTTGTGGTCTGCTCACATTCACATCACTCCATGTCCTCGCAACATCCCTGTATCATGTCCTGCCAAGGCCTCCTGCTTTCTCTTGCCAGCAGAGATTGACACACAGCTTCCATGTGGTTCTCAGGCAGGATCTTGGTTTCTACTTGGACTCCCAATTATGTGTGTGGGCAGGAAAGTCTTGCCAGGGCAGGAGAGCCCTGTGGCTTGTGCAAGGTCAGTGCACTAAGTGAATTGTAGATTGCAGCGTAGGCTGCTCCAGCCAGAAGGTGGTAACTTTTCAAGCACGGCCCCCTCCATTCCCATACCTTGAACTGGCCTCGTGGTGCTAAAGTGCTTCATTCCTCCTTTCTCTATTTTATTTAATTATCTACAATTAAGAAGGACATCTGGGGAAAATAATGAATTGCCCTACGGCTTAAAAACTGTGCTTACCTGCTGGGTAGCTGTTTCTTCCCATCTAGTTGGTTGAAAGAGCAATATTCATTATGTCTGCTTGTCAGCTATCCATTCCTAATTATCTCATACTGATTGTTTCTTGCTGTATTGAGAATTGGGACATACAGGGTTCCAAACCCCTGGATTTTCCCAGGCAGTGGAGAGTGGAAGGGGTGCTAGGATGGAGCCCAAGTCCTTCACTTGGGTGCCAGGCACTCACTTAGCAGCAGTATCCTCCTGAGGGAGCACAAACCTCTGCTCCCAGCTGCTTCAGCCAGAAGGAGCTTTCCAGGAGTAACTGAGAGGCTAATTTTTTAGCATTGACATTTTTGTCACAGTCAATGCAAGAACAAAAAGTAATAAGGAGGTAATTTTTCCAAATGGTAAATAGGGTATAAATACATTTTTAAATGGGACTCACCTTGCAAGAAAATTGATATTTTCTGGGCAGTGTAATTTTTCATTTTATTATCAAAAGCATTCAACTAGCCGTGCATGAAATACAGTCCCCAGAGCTGTCACAATCCCCACGGGCCCCTTTATCTGGCTGAGTTCAGTGACTGCTGTCTCTGAGCTCTGGGTTATTGTTTAAGGATGGTGCTTTTCCCCCTCATTAACCTCTTGCTGTCACAGGGGAAGCGCGGGTGCACACTGTGGCTGGTGGCAGGTACCAGGGCTCCCCACAAGGCATCATCGGTGCCCAGTTGTGCTACCTGGGGCTGTTGAACTGGCTTTAGATGTGCACAAAGGGATCTGAGAGGAGGTGTTGTGACAGGCAGGATGCAAAGAAGGCTTCAGAAACCCTGCTTCTGCCGCAGGGCACTCTGAGCTGCAGGTGGTTACCATATTCTTTATATTCTGCCATATTATGTGTGTGTGTATATATATAT